AAGCTGGAGCTATGGCGCCACAGGTAAGTCTCCCTGGCCTCCGCCCTCTCTCTCTCTCTCCAACGCTACTGTAGCTCCTAATAGCGCCCAGCGCTGAAGACTACTCCTAACGCTACTACTACTGCAGTGCTCCTCCAGAGTGCTGCTGCCGAAAAAGACTGCCTCCTGCCTCCTGCACGTGAAGTGCCCGTGAACTGCCTCCTGACTCCCTGCAGCCTGTAGGGTGGGCCGGTCTTATATAGTGCTGGCCCGTCCAGGAGGCTGCTCTTGCCAATGCCAAAACGTGCCAGACCCTGGCGTTGAAGTTCAAACAAAGGTTGTCTTGAAAACAGGCCCAAAATGGCCTGTGCTTTTCAGGCTTTTAGGCTGAAACAACAGGGCCTGTAGGCCCTTGTTTTCAGGCTTTTAGGCTGAGAACGCTGGTCGGGCCCTGCAGGCCCATGTGGCTGTGCCGTATGCCACAGGGAGATTGCTTGAGCCTGGGGTCGGAAGTTCCCGTACGACAAGGCTCGTTCGACTTCGCTTCCACCGGGGCTGGGTCATGGCTAGCCCTGGTGCCTGTCACTACTGTTCGGTCCAAGTTCCCCTCGTTACTGGTAGAATAATGGTCCTGAGTGCTGGTCACACTGAGGTAGGATAGCAGGGATAGGGGGTGTGCTAGGAGTATTGACACGAGGATGGATGGGAGGTAGCCTCGTCTCCTTGGGGCAACCATGGCTGACCACTCCCAGCGATCAATGCCTGCCTAGCAACTGGCCTCTAGAACACCCTGGAGTCCTGGGAAAAAAAAAAAGAAAAAAAAAAGGCAGGAGAGAAAAGAATCAACCAGGAAGTAGGGACGACATAGCCCTACACCGCAAACACGTACCCCTGGCGTAGGAGACCCAGGTGCCTCTGCCACAGAGCTGTACAGTAAATCAGAAATACAATCCTCTGCCGCCTTGCTCAATAGTGGACCTGAAGGGCCACTTCGCTCAGCTCCCATTATCGAAGCCAGTGCATGCACAGCTGCCTGCATTCGTTCAAGGTACTCGTTAGCTGGGGGAATCAGCAGACAATGACATGTTAAGGGGCTACCCCTTTATGGGGGGCGGGAGGGGCCGGGAGTTGGGGTGGAGGGTGAAACAAATGATAACCAACAAGAACATGAACCCAAGAAAAGAGCCATCAACATTATCGCATATCCACTCTAGGACTTTCTGATGCATACATATATTGCCAGAGAACCGTAGGCAGAGAGGAGATGACGACAACAAACGAGGGCCTGCGAAATGCTGTTCTGTTGGAGTTTCACCAACTCATCAGGAGGCGCGAACCCTCGACAGTCGGCAGACTCTGAGTCGCCTAACCAATTATACTAAAAGACTATATAAGTGATAATGATCCTGAAACCTCCAGTACACCCGGGCCTGGAGGCGCTCCGCTGCGCATACCAAGCTTTGCCGAACCGCCAGTGGCACACATTTTTCCTTTTTTGGCTGGTGCTGCCAGCCATTGGGTCTTGTAGGCCCGAGGCGCGAAATTTTTAGAGTGGTCGACGAAACATTTTCTGCACGGCTGGAGCCGTGTACTGGCGGGGTAACCCCAGTTGTGGTTAAGCATGAAAGACGTGTATATATATTATATAGTTGGGCAGTTGTTAAGGTGGACTATCACTTACAGTTGTAATCTTTTAGGGACTCTGCAGACTGTGAAGGGTTCAGCCTCTCCTGATGAGTCCGCGACATTCCGACGAAACAGTTTGTCACAGCCCCTTTGTTTGTTGTCCTCTTCTCCCTCTCTGCCTACGGTTTACTGGGGAGTACTCTTTAATATCATATCTCTATCAATGAAAAGCACACACTTTGTGAAACAACCCAAAAAAGAAAAAACAAGAAGAAAACATTAAGCACACTGAAACCATTCTCTTGCCTTTTCCTGCACAGTTCTTTCTTCTCTTTCCTTACTTTCGTGTTTTTTTTTTTTTTGTGGTTTCTCGTTTACTTCTTCTACCTCTTGGACTGCCTGGGCTGCCTCAGGCTGCCTGGGTGGCCCGCCTGGGCCAGGTCCTGACAACATCACAGGACTCACAGGCAGGGTTCCACACAGGCCCAGAACAAAATCAGAAAGAAATATATATACATAAATATATATATATATCGTCAAATAGATATATATATATCGTCACAAACAGAACTGCCCGGTAAACCGTAGGCAGAGAGAGAAGAGGACAACAAACGAGGGGCTGTGACAACTGTTTCGTCGGAGTTTCACCGACTCATCAGGATATATATATTGTCACATCACTACAAACTAAAAGAGCGCACTTTGCGGAACAAAGAATAAAAGCAAAAAATGGGCACAGTGATAACATGCAAAAATAAAAATAAAAAGAAAAACAAAAAGAAAAAACAAGGGCAGATTGAAACCATTAAATTTCTCATTCTTCTTTGAACTCCACCTCCACTGTGCCTCTCACGTGCAAGGCTCGTATATATATCGTCAAATAGAACTGCCCGGTAAACCGTAGGCAGAGAGGGAGAAGAGGACAACAAACGAAGGGCTGTGACAAACTGTTTCGTCGG